TGCTTCCAGATGCCATTTTTAACTACCACATTCCTATTTACGATCATTCTGGTAGCATGTGAAGGCAGCATTAGTGAAAACAGGCAGAGACAATGGTAGCTTTAGCAACATTAGCCTTACAGAGAGCCAAGAAGCTCTTTTGGAAAACAAAATATGAGGTGTGATTATTGATCACGCCTCAGAGGCTTACTTTGGCTTACTTTGTCTGGAGTCTGGACGTTTGCGCACGAAGCGTTGGTATCGATCCCTCTTTCAGAAGAAATCTTTGCACAACTCCAGTGCTGAACTGACCCTCTTTTGTGAGGCAGTCCGGCGTAAAATGTTAGCACAAACGTATAGGACTTTTCCGTTTTTTTTCCGGGACATTTACTTCGAAAATGAAATTTAACCACCGTGTCCTCGGCCGTCTATGGAGACTCCTATGTTCGTTGGTGCATCCAAACACACTACACTTTTAATGGCTCTTTGGCGCTGACATTGTAGCTACAGCAAGAAAACAGTAATGGCGGACCGCTGCTTCTCACTCAGGGCTGTGTGTATATGCTAATAGGGCAGAGAGCGTCACAAATGGGCGGGACTTTTCCCGAGTATGAGATCACAGTAGTGAGAAATCTGGCATGTGACACTGAAGACTGGAGTAATGCTGGAGAATGCCTTGCTTCACAGGAATAAATTATATTTTAAAGTATATTAAAATAGAAAATTTTAGAAAATTTTTTATTTCAATATTTCTGTATTTTGGATTAAATAAATGCAGCCTTGATGAGCAGAAGAGACTTATTTAAAGGTGCCATAGAATGCATTGATACAATATTTTAAATTGTTCTCTGATGTCCCCAGAGTGTGTATGTGAAGTTTTATCGCAAAATACCCCACAGATAATGTTTTATAGCTTGTTGAAATTGCCACTTTTTAGGTTATGAGCCAAAACATGCTGTTTTTGTGTTTGTCCCCTTTAAATGAAAATGAGCTGGTGCTCCCGCCTCCCTTTTCAGAAGAGTGCGGAGCTTCAAGAGCTCATGCTCGCGGGCATACCGGTGTTACAGTTCAACTGGTGGTGACCATGTTACTGATCCTCACATTGCTTCCAAATGCAATTTTTAACTACCACATTCCTATTTACGATCATTCTGGTAGCACGTGAAGGCAGCATTAGTGAAAACAGGCAGAGACAATGGTAGCTTTAGCAACATTAGCCTTACAGAGAGCCAAGAAGCTCTTTTGGAAAACAAAATATGAGGTGTGATTATTGATCACGCCTCAGAGGCTTACTTTGGCTTACTTTGTCTGGAGTCTGGACGTTTGCGCACGAAGCGTTGGTATCGATCCCTCTTTCAGAAGAAATCTTTGCACAACTCCAGTGCTGAACTGACCCTCTTTTGTGAGGCAGTCCGGCGTAAAATGTTAGCACAAACGTATAGGACTTTTCCGTTTTTTTTCCGGGACATTTACTTCGAAAATGAAATTTAACCACCGTGTCCTCGGCCGTCTATGGAGACTCCTATGTTCGTTGGTGCATCCAAACACACTACACTTTTAATGGCTCTTTGGCGCTGACATTGTAGCTACAGCAAGAAAACAGTAATGGCGGACCGCTGCTTCTCACTCAGGGCTGTGTGTATATGCTAATAGGGCAGAGAGCGTCACAAATGGGCGGGACTTTCCCCGAGTATGACATCATAGTAGTGAGAAATCTGGAACTGCTAGTGTGGAGAGACTGTTTATGATTTATTGGGATTATAAAACAATGAGTGGGTGGATTTTTACCATTACAGGCTGGTTGTTTTCACACACTGCTTGCACAACTGTGTTCAAACACCTTATAGAAGTGATTTTTGCATTCTATGGCACCTTTAATGTTTTTTAAAGAATTCTCTTCTGCTCACCAAGCCTGCATTTATTTGATCCAAAATAATTAAAAAATAAAAAAACCTTGCTATTTGTACTGCGTTAAGCTGACTGAGACGTGTTATAGCACTTGCATATCATTGCTCTTTTGTTGATTTTGATTGCTTCCATTGTCCTCTTTTGTAAGTCGCTTTGGATAAAAGCGTCTGCTAAATGACTAAATGTAAATACAGCAAAAGCAGTAATGTGAAATATTTTTACTATTTAAAATAACTGCTTTCTATTTGAATATATTTTAAACTGTCATTTATTTCTATGATGCAACGCTGAATGTTTAGCATCATTAATCAAGAGCCACCACACACAGACGTGTCAAGGAATTTGGCTACAGTTGTCGTATTCCTCTTGTTAAGCCACTCCTGAACCACAGACAACGTCAGAGGCGTCTTACCTGGGCTAAGGAGAAGAAGAACTGGACTGTTGCCCAGTGGTCCAAAGTCGTCTTTTCAGATGAGAGCAAGTTTTGTATTTCATTTGGAAACCAAGGTCCTAGAGTCTGGAGGAAGGGTGGAGAAGCTCATAGCCCAAGTTGTTTGAAGTCCAGTGTTAAGTTTCCACAGTCTGTGATGATTTGGGGTGCAATGTCATCTGCTGGTGTTGGTCCATTGTGTTTTTTGAAAACCAACGTCACTGCACCCGTTTACCAAGAAATTTTGGAGCACTTCTGATTTCATTTTCCAGCAGGATTTGGCACCTGCCCACACTGCCAAAAGCACCAAAAGTTGACTGGCCAGCAAACTCACCAGACCTGAACCCCATAGAGAATCTCTGGGGTATTGTCAAGAGGAAAATGAGAAACAAGAGACCAAAAAATGCAGATGAGCTGAAGGCCACTGTCACAGAAACCTGGGCTTCCATACCACCTCAGCAGTGCCACAAACTGATCACCTCGATGCCACGCCGAATTGAGGCAGTAATTAATGCAAAAGGAGCCCCTACCAAGTATTGAGTGCATGTACAGTAAATGAACATACTTTCCAGAAGGCCAACAATTCACTAAAAATGTTTTTATGAAGTATTCTATTTTATGTTCTTATGAAGTATTCTAATTTGTTGGTGGGTTTTTGTTAAATGTGAGCCAAAATCATCACAATTAAAAGAACCAAAGACTTAAACTACTTCAGTCTGTGTGCACTGAATTTATTTAATACACGAGTTTCACAATTTGAGTTGAATTACTGAAATAAATGAACTTTTCCACGACATTCTAATTTATTGAGATGCACCTGTATTGCTATTATGTTGAAAACAGCAGAGGAGATTTTTTTTTAGGTTTCTTTGATGACTAGAAAGTTCAGAAGGACAGTATTTATCTCAAATATAAATATTTTGTAACATAAATGTCTTTATCATCACTTTTGATCAATTTAATGCATCCATGCTAAATAAAAGTATTAATTTCTATAATTTCATAATTTAATAATTATATATAAGGTTTTAAATATACTGACCCCAAGCTTTTGAATGGTTTAGTCCAGGGGTCCCCAAACTTTTTTCTGCAAGGGCCACATAATTTTCCCTTTCTTTAATGGAGGGCCGGGTCGGTTTGTAACAGAAAAATACATGGGCCGGAGTGACTACTAGTATTATTGTGGAGATTTTATTATGATACAGCAAAGGGGTTCTGGAAAAGGCAAATTTCTTTAGAGTGGACATGTAGCTCACGGAATCGCACGTCAAACTCCGCCTTCAGCATTTCCAGCGCTTCCACGGACTTTTCAGCTGGGAATGGAGCCACTGGTTTCTCAACTGAGAGACTTTGGGTAACGGGGAGATGAGTGAAGTCTTGCTTTTGCACTTGTCCCACAAGCAGTGCTAGTTTCACCTCAAATGCTTTTATGTGGGAATACATGTCACATATTAGTTTCCCCTTGCCTTGGAGCTGCAAGTTGAGGCCGTTCAACATTTCTGTCACATCTGTTAAAAAGGCGAGGTCCCATTTCCATTCTGCGTCGATCAGTTCTGGGACAGTTTTGCCCTTTGTCAGAAGAAAGGCGTTGATTTCGGGTAGCAGCTCATAAAAACGCCTCAAAACTCTGCCCCGGCTTAACCATCGAACTTCAGTGTGGTAAAGCACATCTCCGTGAGCAGACTCTAGCTCAGCGAGAAAGGCTTGGAACTGCCGGTGTTTAAGTCCGTTTGCTCTGATGAAGTTTATGCATGACACCACCACCTTCATGACTGATTCCCACTTCAGAACTTTGCAGCAGAGTGCTTGCTGGTGAATCCGGCAGTGGACTTTGAACGGTGGTGTTAGACCTCTTTCCTCTATTTCTTTATTCATGCGCCCTATAAGCCCCCTCGATGCGCCAACCATACTAGGAGCCCCGTCAGTAGTGATGCTGGCCAGCTTAGACCAGTCTAGACCCAGCTCTCCCATCGTTTGGCACACTTTACCAAAAATATCCTCCCCTGTCGTAGTGCCTTTTAGACTTTGTAGGGCTGCTAGCTCCTCTGACACTTCAAAGTTTGAGCTAACTCCGCGAAGAAAAATTAGCAGCTGTGCTGTGTCCTGCACGTCATTGCTCTCATCCAGTGCTAATGCAAAAAATTCAAATTCTTTCACTTTCTCCTGCAGCTGGGCATATACATTATCCCCCATTTCTTCAATTCGTCTGGTGACTGTACTTGCGGACAGACTCACCGCATTTAAGACATCTTTCTTATCGGGGCACACCTCCTCCGCAACAGCATTCATACATTTCTTGACGAACTCGCCGTCACTGAATGGCCTACCGCTGGTTGCAATCAGTTTAGCTACCTGAAAGCTAGCTCGAACGGATGACTGGTTCAGCTGGGTTTGGCTAACAAATGTATTCTGCTGAGCTGGTAGTACACTTTTTAGCTTCGACACTTTGTCTGCTCTCATTTGGCCTTCGCAATCAACCACCCCTTTAAATATTTATAATAATAATAATAAAAAATGTTTCTTGAGCAGTAAATCAGCATATTAGAATGATTTCTGAAGGATCATGTGACACTGAAGACTGGAGTAATGATGCTGAAAATTCAGCTTTGATCACAGAAATAAATTACATTTTAAAATATATTCAAATAGAAAGCAGTAATTTTAAATAGTAAAAAAAATATATATTTCACAAAATTACTGCTTTTGCTGTATTTTGGTTCAAAAAATATATATACACACATGTTACTGATACTGTAAGAATTAAACTATTACCTTTGAATGTCCAAGTTACCGGCTGTCTCCTCCTGGTACTCCAGGGTGAATATGTAGTATGCTGCGAACAGAGTGGCAAGGACAGACAGGAAGTTGGGCTGGATTAACTCATTCTTTTAAACCCAAGTTAAAAAGAGGCATTACAAACAAACGATACGAAAATTAGCAAAGGTCCTCAAGTACACATCTCGCTAGTTAAGTTAACAGCACCGTTCAGCACGGCACACACATCCTCCGTGAGCGGGCTGCCGCTGACCGTGAGTCTCAAGACTTTAGCACGCGTTTTCATTTCGGTTCCGTGTTAACAGATTACTGCAAATTCGATTTAAAATAATCACGACAAAGTGTGCTGATCAACACGTGGTTACCGTGAATATCAACTATTGTCACTGAAGCATGTAATTCTTAACATAGGAACCCAGACATTTTCTGCCCATAGCCGCTATGAGGCCGGGTAATGTGTGAAATCCTACCGCGCCCATGCTCCCGAAAGTCTCCCTCGCGCCCCGCGGACGGAGGATGCGTGAATCCGGGGTTACCAATATGAACTGTGAATGTAGATACTTTCATATACTACTACAGTTACCAAACATGAAAAATAAAAAACTGAAATAAGCCACTTACCACAGTTGTGAATCATTCCTATTGCCGCTCCCGAATCTCGACCGTTGAAGATCCCACCTCTAGATTTGAAATTTACAGCAATATGCTGTACATTTGCGTCAAACGTCACGCGACCCCAGAATGCATTGCAGTTTACAGCAATATGCTGTATTATTAGAAAAACAGCCTGCTGCTGTAAAATATTGCTGTAATTTTTACAGCAGTTTGTTACAGTGAAGGTTAAATGACCTGCAGTATATTAGCATTATATAAGTCATAAATATGAAATGTTTGAAGGTTTGTATGAAATGATCGTTCCAAGATGGCAGACATGTTGACATATCCAGAGCAACTGAATACTGATCCTGTGTATTAAAGGGGTCATATGATGCTTTTTTAAAGATCATTATTTTGTGTATTTGGTGTAACAGAATATGTTGACATGCTTTAATTTTCAAAAAACACATTATTTTTCAAATACTGTACATTATTGTAGGTCATATATGCCCCGCCTCTCTCAAACGCTTCGTTTTCTACATGGTCAGCAATTCCTCAATATAGTGTATTTTTACACACAAATGGCCTTTGTTTCAGATTCAGAGCCAACTGTGCACATTCTGAAGTTGATGCTTTAGTATGCAATATTTTTAATAGATTAAAAATTAAGTTACAGTTTTGAACGAGTCTTTTCTTCTGTCAGGTTTAAGTTGCACTGGCCTGTTAGTGGAATATGGCCATCGTACCCTGTTTGAGAAACTCATTAATAATCAGAATTCTGGGTACCACTCAAAACCACTGGCATTCGTCTCATTCAAATTTTGCACCAAACGAATCCAAATGTGATGAATTGCTTTTTCCTTCCTTGGCCATGTGATGGTCTGCTGAATCCTCATCTCATCTCTGCATTTCCACACTAACTTTGACCAGCTTTCCTCTCACCCCACCCCCTTCCATTACCCCTCTTCTTCCATTTTTGTAACATAATTAGCTTTCATTTTTGAACTGCGCTGGGGATTTCTAATGCTAATCTCTCTGTCCTAGACCTCTTAACTTCTTTAAACCTCTTTTCCTACCAATTGAGAAGTACTAGGGTTGAAACAGTGCTTGCCTACTTCATTATCAACATTTTGAATTGAGCTTCACTTGTGCTATAAATCTCTATTAAAACCTGCATTTGCATGGTGCACAGACTGAAAATAAGTTCTCTATCTAGAAAGATTCAAGTGATTTCCCCAAACATGGCAATTAATTGCCTCCCACAGCTCAGGGTTATTTTTTGAGATATCAGCGTCGAGTTGTCACAACCCGGTTGAAGTGTGTGCTAGCAATAGGAACGCATTATCGGAATAACTGAGATGGTAGAGGGATAACTGTGAACGATATTGAATATTTGCACTGAACACAGAACAAGGGGGTAGTTCACCCAAAAATGAAAATTCTGTCATCAATTATATACCCTTATGTCATTCCATGTCATCCCATAAGAATTTTGTTAATCTTCAGAACAAAATGGATAATGTTTTTACTGAAACCTGAGCAATTGCTGTCCCACTATCAAGTCAAGTCAACTTTATTTATGTAGCGCTTTTAACAATACAGATTGTGTCAAAGCAACTGTACAGCATTAATTAGGAAAATATTGTGTCAATAATGCAAAATGATAATAGTAAACACTCAATTTTCAGTTAAAGGCAGTTCATCATTGAATTCAGTGATGTCATAGGTCTTTAATCTAGACTATCAAAAGTCCATTCCAACAAAACCTTGATGCTTTGATAAGTTCATTGTAAAAGTACTCCATATGAATCAAGCGGTTTAATCCAAGTCTTCTCTTCAGACACATTCACTTTATATGATAAACAGATTTAATTTAGGTCTTTATTTAGATGTAAACATTGGTCAATGTGCATTACATAGAGCTCATCAAATTTGGTAAAGAGAAGCTCAATCATGCTTGCTTGACACACAATTTGCAATCTCTTTACGAACTTTCTGAAACTTCAGAATTTTGGTATAATGCAGTTTCAATCAAAAATCTCTCAAAATATCTTTCTTTGTGTTTCAAAGATAAATGAAGGTCTTATGGGTTTGGAATGATAAAACTTTTGTTTTGGGTGAATTTTCCCTTTAAGTCTGGGATACGCTTCATTTTTCAGTCTGCCTTTAGTTCTAGTTCTGAGTATTGTCAGTGAACTTGTGTGCACACATTCAACACATGGGCACTACGACTGTTGATTCAAATTCATGCCCCGATGTGAATTTTGTACCACATTTTCATTTAACCAAAAATACTGTAACTGTAAATAAAGTTTTGTAATTAAATTTGGGCAATTAAATCGGGCATTGTGTTCTCCGGTAGTAAAGTTTTTTGGCAACAAGCCACCTCTCAATATTTCAACCAAACAAATTTTTCATATTGCTGCTCTACCATCATTTTTGGGCACAGGGACTTGAGTCCACACTGCTGACGTGTTTACCTATAGTAGCTTATCCACACTTTTACACGCTATCACACAATCCGCTCATACAGAATAGATACTAGAGACACTTCTCATTGGAGAAGTGCTAATTAAACAGCAATGATTTTGGCCTTTCAATATTATTTCTTCAGAAACTGTTTACTTAAACAATGTAGCATGTAACCACTGAATCATTTTTTAGCTTTATCATGTCCTGTTGAAACATCATAGTACAGCCAGCACCCGTGTCCCACATTTAGCAATACAGGACGAAACGCCTGTGACATGCTTTCCCATCTCCGTATCACGCAACAGCTGACCCCATTACAGAAACTATTAATGAAACCTAACTCTCAGTCCTGTAAACACTCATACCCAGATTGCTTGTGACTAACGGCTGTCTCTCACGATCACTTGTGTGGATCTTTAAACAGAAAGTGACGGCACAAGAGCAGGAGATAAACAACCGAGTCCAGCAGTTGCGTGGCAGTGAGGAGGAGTGCGGTCTAATGAAGAAAGAACTGGCAGCTCTGCAGCACAGACTGGGGAATAAGAGTCGACAACTTAAGGTTTGGACAAATTTCCACTGGCACCACTTTTAAAGCACTGCCTCTGTGCCTGTGACACCAGGAAGAGAGGGAGGGAAAAAAAACTGACAAGCCCCTGGAGGCAATTGCCTAAGGCCTCAAAATCCCGGGTCGGGGGCAGGGGCGGCGAGGGCGGGGGTGGTAGCGACAGCGTAGCTCGGAAAAGCAGCTAACTTTCTCAATAAATACTTAATGATGGCCGAGCAGAGGAAAGAGTGTGTATGTGATGTGGCTTCTCCTTAATTACCTTCTGATGGGACTGGCATGATTAATTGATAAAGTGAAGATCTGGGGAGGATGTGTCTTTTCAGGGTCTCTCTTAGCAAAGGGAGGGAAGGATAGTGCGGGCAAAAAAGAAAGGGGCGAGAGATCAGCATCAAAGGCAGGCTGGCAGGACTAATGGGCCTGTAGTGGAGCTATTCTCATTAGAGCTGTCATTAGAGCTAAAGCTGGCCCCTGCGCCAGGCTACCTGCGTGGGCTTCGGCTTGCCCTGCCAACGCAGGTAAGCTCCAAACTTCCCTCTCTGGCCCTGCCCGCTCTGCCGCCCTTTCATCCCAATGCTGCGACCGTCTCTCGCTCTCTTTTCCCCGGCAGGAAGTGAGGAGGCAGGCGCAGGAGTGCGAGGAGGAGGGCAGGCATGCCCTACTGGAAGCCAGGCAACAATTAGATGCTCAGCACTCAGCCTCTCAGGCAGAGCTGGAGAGATTGCGGGACCAAGAGGCCGTCAGCAATTCCAGAGTCAAGGTAAGGTCCCCCGCTTCGCACCCTGTTCTCTTTTTTTCTTCTTTTCTGCCGCTTTCTAAGCGGGTTCATGTAAATGAACTTGTCTCACAATGCGCAAATGTTAAATATTGATAGATATGTTCAGGGGGGGGCGAAATAATGACTTGGTGGGTTAACATGGTGGGCCCAATTTTTATTTTCCCCACTCAACAGCGGGAGTGTACTCAGTGCAAACGTGACCAGAGCTGTTTTACATGTGGCCCCGAAACAGTCCTGCCTGCTGTCGCGGTGCTTAGCGACTTGGGCTATAATGACCTACTACAGACGGAGCAGGAGCTGTTGTTAGCATGTTCCATAGGGCCTCGTTCAGCATTTGTGTATGTTTAATAGGGCTTGTGTCCTCTTGGGTTGAGTGTCACTCAAGCACCTGTGTGATTACCTGCTTTACATACAGATTTGTGTTCATTACTCTCCATGGGGAAGGACAGAGGCAGGTCTGTGTGGACCTTAAACTCTAACTAGTCCAATTAAATTAGACTGTAGTGGTGCTCGGACTGTGTCCCCTTTCCTCCTGTGCTCTCTGTCTCTCTCAGTGCCCCTGTCAGCACTGGCTAGTTTTTAATGAGGGCTGGCCCGTGCTCTCCCTGGCCTGAGCGTTTGATGCTCAGCATCTGTTTGCTTCTCATTATCTCCATCAGCTCCTGTGATATGCGGCTGATAGGCTTCCCGCTTTAGTTGCTCATCTTTTACTTTCCTTCCGTTGTCTTTCTTTGTTCCTTTTTACTGTGGTCAAGTTCTCTGAGGTGGTTTGTTGTCAAACGAGAGTGTCCATGATAAAAAAAAGAACAAATATATATATTTTTTTTAAATCTAGTTTAAAACATGTATGTTTTTTTTTTTTTTAAGAAATGCACTCTTTGTATTCATGTTGGATTTATGTTTCTTTTGATAAATATTTTATAGCATTTTCGAGAAAAAAAAATTATATAAATATATATGTATATATGTATATATATGTATGTATGTATGTATGTGACCCTGGACCACAAAACCAGTCATAACTCAGATCTTCACTGGTCTCTGTCACACCTGCATAAGGCTGTCAGTAGAGGGCTTCACCCCAGACAGGACCACTGCAACATCTGCTTACAGCAGTACAAGAGACGCCAGGAGAGCGAGGAGGAGATCATTATCTTTAGGTATATGTATGTATGTGACCCTGGACCACAAAACCAGTCTTAAGTACCATGGGTTAAATGCCAAAAATCATTTTGTATAAAATTTTATATCTAATATTTAAAAGTGATCAAGTAAAAGGATCGCAATTTCTCCTTGTGCCTTTCTTTTTTATTTGTTTATTCATTTATTTATTTAAAAAAATATCTTGAATTATTTATTTATAAAAAATGTTGCTCTGTTATCATTTCCCCCCATTCCTGCTAGGGGGTGGGGATATTGACAAAATAGATTGTTGATAATGATAATTAGAACATATTGGGAGACAGCTGACTCCCAAAGCTGTTCATAATTGTCATAATTATGTGATGCGGTGGTTAGCTCACAGCAGTGACAGAAATAAACTATTTTATTATGAGGCAGTATTTATTTCCTTAAATTGATTTCCAAGGGCATTTTACTTATATAAGAGCAATTTCAAACCTTATTAGATGTATGCTTCATCATTGTCGAATTCTTACATTTAATCAATGAATGCAATTAGAATAATAAGACACTATGGGGTGTTACCAATCAAATTAAATAAGTATCAACAAAATCCATTTTTGCACTGTAGAAGTGGCAGATGCCGAATCTAAAGCAGCATTTCAATGTATTAACACTGCAATTACAACTGCATAAATAACAATATGGAATTATTGTTTTAAAAATAATATTTTGAATATTGAAACCATTTGTGTTGTTCAGAGATGCACAATAGCTCCATTGTGGCTTTGTTTGGAACTATTTTCTTTGCCAAAATGAGTAAAAACTGACAGTATTGACAATACTCTGTCTAAAATGTAACTCACATTACCATATACCACATAACTCATATATTTACTGAACTGTTGAATAAATTCAATTCGCATTTGCAACTGTGGTGATATTTGAGAACTATGCTTACCTATAGCATATAGAAATATAAGAGAAAAACTTATACAGGGCCATTTTTTGCCCCAGTTTATTGAATTTTGGGAGCATTCTAACTACATCATGCAGAAAGTGTGCATTCCCAGGGCGTTTTTGTTTTTTACATACATGTACATTTCACAAACACCCTTAATTCCTGCATATTTCCTACATATTTGTCACACATGACACAAAACACATGACTTTGTCAGGCACACCACATGATTTTGATGCAGTGGAGAAAAGGCTTTTAAATAAGCAGTGAAGGAGTTTGTGATTTAATTTAATTTATTATTATTATTATTATTAAGATACAATAATGAAAGATCATGCCCGTTGTTCTTCAAAATGAATTTTATTTTAGATGTTAAAAACATGTTCATCACCGAAAGATACAGTAACTGCCTGTACAGTACAGTATGTATGAATTGCATTTTTAATGGAGTTTTGAATAAATTAATAGATCTACACTAAAAAAAAAAAAAAAGTATTTCATGCCATTGAACCAGGTGTCAATTAACAATCAATTTATCTTGCAGAATTTGGAAGAGGAACTATTCAGAAGCAGACAGGACATGCTAGAGGCTCAGAGTCGCTCAACTGCTTTGTCCCTTCAGCTTTCCACTGTAGAACGGGAAGGAGCTGACAAAGAACAACAGCTCTGTCAAATCAAGTAAGCAGCACTTACACAGATCTGGCTGAGCTTTGATTAACCCTGACCATATGAGTTGACCGTGATGTGTGTGCATGTTCGTGTCCAGACGCGAGCTCCAGGACTTGCAGTGTCTGTACAGGCAGAGTGTGGAACATGCAGGAGAACAGGCCCAGCTCATTCAGCAGCTGGAGGGGCTTAACCTGGACACGCAAAGAGTCCTGCACAGCCAAGAGGAGGCCCACACGGCAGACACCGTCTCCTACCAGAAGGTACTGGAGCGCATCTGTTGTGTGAACTTAGTGCCTGTCCTCACGAGTGAACGCGTGCCCCTGGGGGGTGAACTTGTGTTCCAGCAAGGACTTAACTGCATTAACCGAGCTTGTCCTTCACTGTCTGTTTCTGCTGTGACAGCTCCACAGCGAGCTGAGCGTGTCATACCAAGCCCTTTGGCACAGCCAGGAACAGCTCCGCCAGCGGGAAGCAGCCCTCAGCATGCAGCTCAGCCAGAGAGATCAGCAGATCCAAGAACTCCAGGCACAGCTGCAGAGTTTCACAGCCGCCGCGGGGCACTGTGAGGTGAGTCCGTGTGGGGAGCACCATGACAGATTTACATCATGCTCAATGCCCTTTGTATGCAAAGCAAGCTGAAAGAGCACTTCAGCAAAACCACACACTGTTCATTTCCTTTTTCTCCTCTTAGTATAACCACATCCATAATAAATGAAATGCCTTTCAGTAAGAGATGAATGGGAAGAGATGACCAGGAGTTTTTGTTCATTTTTGCAAGACTTCATGCTGTCTGACAACTCCAAAGCATTTGGCATTAACCCTGCTCGAACACTGCCAGAGCTCCTCTCAGCAGATCAGTTATTATCAGTTATGTACAGTATATATGGCATGGGTAAGATTTTTGTAGTTTTTTTTTTTTTTTAAAGAAGTCTTTTATGTCACCAAGCCTGCATTAATTTTACCAAAAAAAAAACACTAAAATAGTAATATTGAGAAATTTTATAGGTTAAAATAAATGTTTTCTAAAAGTAATTTATTCCTGTGATGGCAAAGCTAAATTTTTAGCATTCATTACTCCAGTCTTCAGTGTCACATGATCTTTCAGAAATCCTAATATGTTGATTTAGTGCTCATGCAACATTTTTTATTGTTATAAAAGCATGCTGCTTAGTATTTTTGTAAAGAAACAAAAAAAATTTCAGGATTCTTTAATAAAAATAAAGGTCAGAAGAGCAGCGTTTATTTGAAACAGAAATTTTCACTTTACTGTCCCTTTTGCTCATTTTAAGATTTAGTAGTTCATTGTTTCCATTGTTCAGCTCCAGGTTTTTATTTTTATTTTGCCACAAAGCAATTCTAGAGATTCATGAACACATCTGTTTGTTAAAGCTGAAAGTATCCATTCATGCTTTATCTTCTTTGTAGAAAATGGCCTAATGTGGAAATTATGTCGTTTTGTGGCAGTCATGTAGATTGTGCTGAAAATGTAGCTTGAGGAGTAGCAAATAGTTCAGTTACTAAGTACAAGGTTGCAAGGTTTCCACAGTAGGTCCATCTCAAATCTGAGATGTTGTAGGTGTAGCCAGACAGCCCTCTACGGACACCTTGGCAATTGAATCGCCATTGGCTAGTAGTATGTTAAATACAGGTGCGTTGCACTTCCATTCAGATGAACTGAAAAACAGCACAGATCGCTTGGCGGAGAGTGAAACTCTGAAAACCAGTTAATTGGTCAACAGTAAGTTCCCTTACTATATACTGTAAATTGACATTCCCAGAATTCCCTGCGTTACATTTCACATTTTATGTTTTTTTTTTCATTGAAATAACAGTGTTTCTTCATAGTTTTTTTTTTTTTTAGGGTTGTATGTTTTAATGTTATTAATGAATGTTTATTGTATTATTTTAGTTTCATGTGTGTTATGATGTGTTTACTGTTTGTGTGAATGACTCTGTGTGCACCCTTCTATATATGTTAGTATTTTCCTTCTCAGCTTGTGAAAAACCTGCTTGTGATGAGCTTTCTCGTCACCACCTGCTTTTGGTGGTTATTAGCAGGGGTGTGGACTCGAGCCACTTGACTCGAGACTCGACTCCTGGATCTTTAACTGCTGCAATAGCAAAAAGAAAAAACTCTTGATATTTTAAGAACAATTACAGAAGAATAAATTAAAGCATATTTCGTTACCTTTTGAAACTTAAAAGGGTTCAATTTGAGCAGATGAACACATTGAGTCATCTGATATGTAAATGTAGTTGCGCAGGAAAAAATACTTACACATTTTTACATACCTAGGGTCTCTAGCGACCCTATACACTTTTTACAAAAAATTAATCAGAAAACTGGCATTCGGTTAAAATGTAAACCTGCTTATTTTTAAAGGTTTGAAGGTTGGTGCAACAGAATTATTAGATAAACCTTGAGTTAATCTAGATTTAAAATTAATCATTGCCAACTATTCAGCTATAATTTGAAGAAGAAAAATGCACTTTAGGCCTAATGTCTGAAGTGAGCAAGCGGCAATAGACCTAATGATAATTTAAAATATAATTTGAAGAAGTGTTTAGACTTGAATCTTAAAGCTGAGGACTTGCAACTCGACTTGGACTTGCCTGTCTTGACTCGGGACTTGACTTGGGACTTGTCTGTCTTGACTCGGGACTTGACTCGAGACTTGAATGCAAAGACTCAAGACTTACTTGTGACAATGACTTGGTCCCACCTCTGGTTATTAGTGTATTACAAAGGTATAGCTTCAGCATTACAATAGGTTCGTATATTAACATTATATCAGTTAATGAAATATGTTTTTTAAATGTACATTTATGTTAAATCCGTAAAACCTAAAATGTTGCTACCGTATTTTTCACTGTAAAATTCTGGCAACCACAGCTGCCAGGTTTTTTTTACCGTAAATTTTACAGATTTTTTTTTTTTTTGGGGCAGTGTAGAACATGGGCCGCATTTACTTATTAACTTATGATCTATTGGTTTGTGATCTGAGCTTTGACTGGGCTGAGCTTTTCTGTATATTCCAAGTCATTGTTCTTTGGAAATAAATCCCAGTGATTTTACCAATTTTCCCTCAGATTTTTATTTTTTTTGCTTCGCTACATCTATATTTCCTTTTGTCTTTCCATTTCTTCCGGCAGTCTGTCTCTGCGGTGACGTGACCCAGGTTGTCACTATGCTGCGTCGTTCTCTGATCTAAATCAGGCCTTAAGCCTTGTAGGTTCTTCTTTTCTAGTCAAAAGCCATTGAAAACCAAATCTAAAATTGGCCTCCTGAGGATTACACAGGACGTGTTGCATCTTACAGTCTATTAGCAATGCATTTAACACTCTATGTGGCAGATCGGTGGCGGCAAGAAGGTTTATTGCAGCTTTTGTTCAATTGCCTATGCACTTGAGCTATTATACCGAGTGACAAGGTTTTATTATGAATAATGTCAAAGAACTGTTAGAACCGCATTGCTGCTCACATCTCAGAGTGATTGTTTGTTGCTCCTCTAGGATCTACATCTGGCAAATTGATTTTGTGGTGTGGATTGATTGGACAGATTTTTATTAACCTGTTTCAAGTGAATTTATTGATTAATCCCAGAATTTTTTTCTCTGTTTAGCCAGATTTTTATAGACAGCCAACGACATTTAGGGGCCACTTAATCAGCTTTATCACCTATAGAAGTATTTATTTAATAGGTGGAGTGTTATGAATTTAATTAAACTTTGAGATTGCGAGAAACCTCCCAAGTGATGAAATTTCAATGTCTCTCTCCCCATTTCTCCCTCTTCTAGAACCCAGACGCTCCTCTCAACATCTGCCTCTGCGTGTTATTAGTGTTAGTGAAAGCCGAGCTGTCAGATGTATAATTGAAGTGTCCGCTCCCTGCACACACGGCTTGTTATGTTGGGGTCATGTTTAGATGAGTAGATGTGTTTCTTTTGATCACTATCTGACGCTCAAACCCTGAGCTTCCAGCATACTGAGAGGCTGCCGATGTGTTTGGCTTTAAATCTTTAGGAGGCAGTGCTTCCCTCACTGTGGGCTGCCTCACCAGTTTGTTTCACTCAACTTGTTTAGATAACATTAGCCCGATGATGTCTCATCAGACCTATTGAACTTCCACAGCAAGTGCTTCCTAAACTTTTCAGAGACCACTCTTTGTGTCTTTAACAGTTGTTCAGCACCTCCACCTACTGCTGGCTGTTAGCATGTAATGACCAAATCCAAATGAACACTTTCACTTTGTATATCAGAAAATATTTAAATTTGATTTGCATTATAAACTGTTAATAGTGGTGCTTCTTTTGATTATTGAGCCCATATGTTTGAACAAAGATACATACAGTATATACAGTGTACATATACAACAATATGACTCTGAATTGAAATCATCTGAACAATTATTTGTTTTTGTTAGTAAGTTAGGCTATTGTATGTGGGAGCCCCTTTCCATCTTTTACCGTGTCCTAACCAGCCATGACGTGACTCTGTGATGCGATAAATGGTATTTTTTTCCACATTAATCAGACTGTGTCGTGATCAGCTGACATCTGACCAGCCGACAGCTCAGGTACTGAATGTGTTTTGTATGATGTTAAATGATTTAATTTGATTTGGCGGGTTGTCCTTTTATTAAAATTTGACTGTCTATGCAGTAAAAAGGCAGGATTTAGAGAAACTTAACTAGAGAAAACGGAGTAAAAGGGCTGCAGTGTTCCCTTTGTCTAAAAGGGTAGGAAAACTTCAACACCCATAATGCACTGGGCATGTTGCCAAATGTCTGTGGGTGGGGATACAAAAACAGATCATGGGACAATGATCTGCAGTTTTAATAAAAACCTAGAGATGTCAAAAGTCAGCCAGATGACGTGATTTTTGCTGTCAAATAGACGGGAAGATCTGGGTGCAGGAAACATTTGAGAAAGAGAACACATTGCTCATTTACATACAGGCCTTCCACCAACATTGAAGCTAGTTAAAATCGTCAGACTTGTCTTTTTGACAGCCTATGAGAGACATTTACCTCAGATCTTGAAAATAACGGTGAACGGTGAAAATAACGGTGAGCTTAAAGGGGTCATATGATGCTGCTAAAAAGAACATTATTTTGTGTATTTGGTGTAATGAAATGTGTTTATGCGGTTTAAGGTTCAAAAAACACATTATTTTCCACATAAAGTAAAAAAAAACAATAATAAATAAATAAATAAAATTGTTACATTATGAAATATAAAGTGACACTGTGACAGTTGCAATTGCAAGATACAAAGTCACAATAATGAGAAATTACTTTTTTATTTGTTTGTTTATTTATTTTTACTCTTAGGTGGAAAGAGGCTTCTGTAACTGCAGGATAATTACTGGTGATTTTGTATTTATTTATTTTTTTGCCAATGAAACTCGGGTATCATGCACGGGGGGAAAAAAGACATTTTCTTGCACACACACACAAAAAAAAAACACTGCTAGGGAATACGGCTTTATTAAGTCCTTTCATAATTTCATATATCATTATTCAGCTTGTTTTTTTGGCAGCGGTCAGTTGAGTGAAACTCTAAGGCAGTCTTAGATGTTTGATTTGTGTATTATAAGAAAAATACTATGACCTTTCAGTTGTTTAACCCAGTATACAGAATTGAATCATAGCTTGTATATTGATATTTCTTCAAAGCATTATGAAATATGAAAACAGCTGTATTAGCAAGGACGCCGTCAATTAATCCAGCCACTGGCTGTCCTAAAACATTTTGTTGGATGCTGGTAAGTTTGTTTTGCATGTTTTCTACTATAATGATATGACCTCTTGTGCTCAAGTGCTTTCATCAGATGAGCAGCGTGTGTACTGAGACTCATTAATAAACCCCAGCCATGTGTTAAAGGCCCAGCCGGTCACTTATTCACTCACATACAGTCCCCGTCCATCTGCAGGAGCTCTGATCATCAGTTAAAAACACAGGCCTGCTCACACGCGACCCTGACCCGAGAGCCACTCACGTCTGTGTTCATACAAACACGCAGCCATGCAGAGACGCCTCTGTGTTTACACCTCCATCACGCTTCATGCTAGTGCAGGGAACACTTTGCTACACACATATATTACATCAAATCTGGCCCAGAGTGAATCCCTCCTCTACTGGCTTCATACAGTCAGGGGCCTGATTATAGCTGTTTTGTAATTAACAGTGATCAGATTTGTTTTGTGGCAGAAATGGTACATGGTGTAGAACAGTCTAATTCAGATGCAGCTTGCAGCTTTGCCAGCAGACGGGTCACAGGCCTTGGGGAGAGCAATCACGAGCCCCTCCATATGTTCCCTCTGCTTCTACACTGAGACCACCAGTGCCAGCAAAACTCCCAGAACAACCTAATCGTGTTCTGTAATTACAGCACGCTGTTTTTTCCCCTCTCTTTCTCTTGCACACACACATTCACACTCTTTCACACTCTTCCTTTTTCTCACCCTTTTATTCTCCTTCTTCACCCCTCATCTTCCCCTGCTGGATAGAAATGAGGGGAAAAGACGCAAACGCTCCCTCATCAGATCATTTGTAAATTGCTTTACGCGGCTGATGCCGAACTCTGTTGGTTTTCGACTGCTTGAAATTATAAATAATTGTAACAGATGCGCCAATGTGGCCGGCCTCCAACAAATGAGGCCCCAGATAATTTGGCCGACCCTTTTGGCAGGCCAATTTAATAAAATGTGAACAAAATCTACCTGCTAATAATTTATCATCCCCTCTCCCAATTGGTTAAACTTAATTACCCTGGCAGTTAACAAGGTCACGCCCAGATGCCAAGCCCGGCTGTAGTTTTGATAATGCAATCAGGAACCCGAAGGTGATGACAGCGCTGTTGTTTTTTCATTATCTTGCTCTCAGAGAAAACACAGGTGCCAAGGCCTACTTGTCTGCTGGCGGTAATTACCAGTCATCACAGCCTTCAAACTTGGTGCTGCAAACATGTCGGATACAAGACTGAACTTTACACACTTTCTTAGAGTTGTCTCTCTGCGAAGAAAGGGAAAGATTATGTAACATCTGTTTTCATCCGGTCCAAGAAGAAGGCATTGGGTCTTGTATTTACTGGATATAGGCTTGCAATAGATTCACTTTCACTTGTCATATTATTTTGCTAAAAGTTGAATTGGTAATGTATGTTGTAATGTCTCTTTCACGGCTGTGAAACAAATCCACCAGTGTACATGCAGTGCAGCACATGAACTGTGGCCATCAATCGAGTAACCAATCACTCGCACATGCGGCTAAATTTTAGGGGCTAAGAATAAATTTAGAGCAGAATTTCACTGCATGTTGTGTTGTGTGATTGCTTCAGTTTGCATGCACACTAGATTCTAGAATGTGTAAGCTCATAGAGTGCTGCAGTGATAACGTATTTTTGTAGGCCAACTCTGTTTCCCTTGACAAAAACACAATCGGATTTTTCCATTGACTTTTCATTGGATTATTGTAGAAAATAAGCTCTAAGTTTATGATTCTTGCACGTTTGGTTCATTGTGATAATCTTCGCAAAAGAGCACAAGTTTTATGAATTTAATGAATTTGTCTAAGTACAATCACCAGAAGTGAAAAAAGCTAAATGTAGATTATAAACAAACTACACCACGGTCGAGTAACTTCAGCTTCACCACCACCAAGCTCCAACAAATCTTTCTGTCTTTATTAAAGAAAAAAAAAAACTTTAGTTGAAAGTTTGAGTTAGGCTAATTTTCAAGAGCGTGATTATACAGATGGACTGTTCCTTCTCCATTTATAGCACAATATTGCCATTGATATCAATGGATTCACAGCATTTCCTGATGCACTGTACAAGTCGGACTTGTAACCCAAAGGTTGCAGGTTCGAGTCTCGGTACCGGCAGGGATTGTAGGTGGGGGGAGTGAATGTACAGCTCGCAACATGGCACCGCAGCAAAAAAGGCTGCCCACTGCTGCAGGTGTATGTGTTCACTACTCACTGCTGTGTGTGTGCACTTGGATGGGTGAAATGCAGAGCACAAATTCCGAGTATGGGACACCACTCGGCCACGCGTCATGTCACTGTGTGATGAGAGTGAAAATGAGCCTTACGTTCTTGTTATTCCTGTCCAAGTGACAGAATTCATTTGGAATTATTCTTTATTTTATCCTTTTACATAAAACAGAGCTTTTTAGACCAAGCAGTAATGTGCAAGAACCAGTCCCATTCGCTAGTGTGTACCTTGATGTAAAATATCAAAATATAATTTTGTCATTTATTTTGTCATGTCATTTAGTGAAGGGAGACTGATTAGACTGAGATGCCCAATACATTGAAATGCTTTATATCATGCACATTACAACAATGAGTAGGCATAATGTTTAATTCAGCTTGCCCTGCCAGGAGCTTTGACAGATATACCACCAACGTGTGGAATTGGTAAAAAAAAAAAAACTGCTCACAAAGGCTGCATTTATTTATTTAAAAATCTAGTAAAAACAGTAATATTTATGTGAAATCTTTTTTTTTCTCCTTTTTTTTCAGTCTCATGATCATTCAGAAATAATCCAAATATGCTTATTTGTGGATCTAAAAACCTTCTGTCACTTTTGATCAATTTAATGCATCCTTGCTTAAAGAGCAGGTCATATGGGTTTTTGAAAAATATCTCTTTTGCAGTTTATAACGTAGCTATCCTTAAATGAAAACAGTCTGCAAAGTTGTTAATCAAAAAAGTGCATGATAAATAAAGATATTGTCTCTCAAAAGAGAGAGTCGATTCTGAATCGCCTTAACGAGTCGTCATATTTTCGAATCTTTTGCCTGTTACCGGTGTACGTCACTGGGTAACACATTTGCATAATCCCCGCCTGCC